CAATACAATGTCAGGGTAAGCGAAAATGTAATCTGACTGAAATGTTGGAAGTGGATACATATCGGAAAAAGTATTTACTAAAGAAAGTGCATATCTAGAAAGGGGGTTGTTGGGAAAATGAACACACCTCTCCAGAATAGGACTTGGACCCGTCCAAATACATAAATACTGACGCCAAGTATCGTCAAGAGAAAATAAAAGACGAGTTCATCTCCCTTCCTTCTCATTCTTTATCTTTAGATAATTATATATAATAATTTATTATCTTTAAATCTTTATGGCATTGGGTGCGTTTTGTAGCCCCCCCTCCCCTTGAGAGGATGCGGTATTATGGTGTATGGAGGATTGATTGGTGACGGACTAGTTTTTATGGTGAATGTGCAAATTGTAATGAATCGTGAATCGGATTAGCTAGGTATAAGATAGTTAGTGAAGATGAGCCTCAACACCTCCCCTTTTTTCGGCCTTGTGCCATAATTGTATTTTTATATAAATACCATTAAAAGTAAATTTTTATATAAATAACAGTAAAAGTAAAAGAAGTAGAGAGAGAGAAAGAAAGACAGACAGACACAGAGAGAGAGAGAGAGAGAGAGAGAGAGAGTGAAAGAGAGAGAGGAGAGAGATCTAGCTTATCTGCTTACTACCGATTTTAGCAAGACTACATTGACTCCAAGTGATATTACTTTTCTTCAATGGAATGAAGACTTAACAGTTTATCATATGTGGACAAGCACACACTTAAAATACACACAAACACACAACCATACTAGCAGAAAAAATACCTAACTGAGATTAAGGCATGATTAGTAGTTGGGGCTTTCATGAATAAATCGGTCACCAGATCTAGAGTCCCATTCTATGTTATCACCGATAAAAAGAATCAATTGTTTCTTGAATTCTCTAAAAATCATTAGTTTGCACATATTAAGGACAACTGCTTATCACTCTTAAAGTAATAATTTGATCGAAAGAATTCGTTGAACAAGTAAGACAAGCATAATAGTCCGTAAAGTGTCATAGTTGAAAATAATATCAATTGTTCGTCTAGGTATGCTCAGTACATCAACTGAATAAGCCCCCACCTACCGCTTTACTACATTCACTGGCTCCTCATTCTTACTTCTGTTCATTGATTAGCTCGATTCAAAGGCAGACAATCCAGTTAACAATGAATCTATTTGTAAGCTACACGAAACTATGTTACATCAATTATCTAAGGGACATCGCCATATCAGTGTTAATGGCTTTATTCTAAAGACACTAGATTAATGTACTGCGACAAAATTTGCCTCAGGGCTGGATCAGGTGAGAAAGCGCTTAGAAGCGCTAAATACAGGATTCTATGACATTTTCTAATAGAGATGAACTTCGACATGAATAACATGAAAAATAAAATCTGAGTGTCATATCCACAAATTACAATACAAAATTATAAACAACGCAAATAAATGATCTTCGCAGAAAAAGAAGGCGGCCAAGTTAAGTATGTGTTGTGACCAAAGTAATAGGTTAAGGAATAACAAAACAAGAGGGTGCAGATAAATAGTGTATTGAACAGTAAATACAACAGAAGTGGGTTACACGACTTGGGAGTGTGTGTCGGTTGACCAGCGTTCAGTCTATATCACTGTTACTATTTAACAGCCACCCCCCTCGAGAATTATATGTGGCACAAGGCCGAGTTTAACGTGGGTCATCCGAGAGCGTAGGCTAGGCCAAAAAATCCCCGTAGAACTCGCATAAACCGGTTCGAGTCTGCCTACCTCCCCGGATGAAACTCTGCCCTACGGCAAAGCCTCGTTCATTTTCCTCTCCGCCCAAGGCAGAGAGTTTGACAGGAGCTGCGAACATTCACAGCCTCGGTAGAACAGTCTATATCACCGCCCCCACCCCGAGGTTTACTTTTCCTACTACTTTATAGTAAGTGGAAGAGTCCATAATAGACTCATTAAAGGGAAGACACTACAACAATATGACAATAATATTTATACAGTAGATGAAGGTATTTACATATTAGAATTCAATTCTTTGTTATGGTCATGAAGAGACTCATAGTTCGAGTGTTCAAAGTGATTCTGCAAAATTTGAGGTTATTTTGTTGCAAGTGAGTCTTCAAAGTTCGAAGTTATGTGTGTGTGTGACTGTGTGCGTGAAGCACACGCCGACGAAACATGTGCGTGACTGCTGACTGGTTATGTGCGATAGCAGTGATTTCAAACACAATGAACAAAGAGAAATGGATCTAGAACTTACTTTCGTTGCGGATTTGTATATAGAAAGATCATCGCTGACTGATGCGTTGTCATGGTAACGTGTGTCGAGGCTAGGCTTTTTCACTGATTGTTCTGTTTCTCAGATCAGTCCGCCGACTGTCCTGTTTCAGATCTGCTCCTGACTGTTGCTGACAAGCCGTTTTTGTCGTTTCGGGGTCGGCTCCAAATCACTATCTTAGTTTTGCGTGGGAATGTACTTAGTAACCCGTGCCCTGACCTATTTCCAACTCATTTGGAGTTCAATCGCGCAGACGTCGTAGAGAGCACATCACGCGATTTGTATCCAATCAGGTTCTAGAAACGACTTCTTTCTTTGGAGCCGTGTTTTTACAGAATTGTAAAAAAAAAAATTCGTATCTACTGAATTTAGTGAGGTTTATTTGAAGGCGTTTGTGCTTTTTTTTTTTTTTTTTACCGGGGAATGATGCTGTTCCGACGCATTTAGAGTTTGAGACCAAAGTGCTACTGGTCGCCCGCCCGTCTTGCTTTAAGGTAGCCGCTTTACATTGGTTGCTCGCATTAGTCTCTACTTGAAAAGAATTATCCTCAGTCATTGTACCAACCATAGCATCATCCAAACTTTTCTTTAACTCTTGGAAATCTTTTTCAGCTTCTTCTGGAAGGTGGGGGGGAGATGTATTTTGGTTTAGCTTTAGTATTTTCTCGGAGTAGTTTCGGATCCATTTGCTAGAGTATGAAAAGTATCCCACAATCCATTCCTGGGCCAAATGTGATGTAGATCCCAGAAGCTCTCTTAGTGACCGTACCCTTTCCGGCTCTGGTTAGATCTTATTATTTTTTTACTTTATAATTTCGTAGTCGTAGTTCTTCAACTCCTAAGACAGACATCTTCTCATTGAAGGTGAACCCATCTTTGTCCGCTACATCTCTCACTCTTCTAAAGTTCTGCTCGTGTTCTGTCACAGACGGTAAAATTATCCACGTAAATAAACATGTCTTTTAAACCCTCTAACTCCGCAATCTCATCTATTATCCTCTTAAACCCAACAGCTTTGTTAGCGATTCCGAAGAGCATCTACTTAAATGGTAGAGACGGCATGTTGCCTCAAATGTTGTAAAATCCTTATATTCATCTCTTAGCGGGACATGGTTATAGCCGGGCTCTACTGCTAGTCTGTAATAAATGCAATAATAATGAACAAAATACAAAAGCTTGCAAAAAGAGACCAACTTTAAAATACGCAATATCTATTAGGAATAATACACAACAGTAAAACCTCTCAAAATACATAGAATTTGCTCGAATTTAATGAATTTGAAGAGTTGAATTTTTGTCAATAAAATACTCAACAGAGAACTAGAGTGACGATAGTAAACTAATTAATAAGTTTCAGAGGTCTTACCTCATTTACAATAAAAGATACTTTTCAAAAAACTTTCTTACTTGCAATAAAAGATAATTTTCAGAAACATTTCTTACTTGCGATAAAAATTTTCAAAAACCTTTCTTATTTGCAATAAAAGATACCTTTCAAAAACCTTTCTTTGTAGTGAACAAAACAAGATCTAGATTTAAAATTCAAATGCTAAGCACCCACTCATTGATTTTGTTAGAAATTAAAAAGACTCGAATTTACAAACTTTGCTTAACACACTCGCAAAAGCGAATCCAAAACAAAACTGGTGTAATTTCACACCTTCATGTGAAATGTTTTTTGGCCAATAGAAAACTAGGAAACATTTAAAGACAAAATTCAAATAATCTTCAATTCTCAGAAACAAATTCTTTTATGGACCTTTTCACGAGCTGACGCGAAGTCTGTCCGTCGTCCAATGGAAAGGCCCGAATCATATCCGGGAGTGAATTCCCAAATGACCTTTTCAAGCCCCACAAACAAAATAAAAGACGGGCAAGTTCGCCTGTTACCAGAGAGAAGGAGACGAGCGTATTAATAAGTCCCTTGACAAACGTCAAGTGATCGTTATTATTATCTCTACCTTTGTCCATCACCTCTTTTATACTTGATAAACGAACGGAACATTTTAAGACTGAGCGATTACTTCAAAGACATTCGTACTCTTCGATAACGCTCATACGTACATACATCCACACATATGTTCCTGCCTACGTACACATAAACTTATTCTTACAAGGACTTCTACGAACATTTTGATGACCTTGTATCAACTAAAATACATTAATTTTATTTGTAAAGACCTTAATTGATTTATATGTATATAAATTTGTTGTTTCACCTTACAATTTGATTTTCTCGTTTTATATCCCTCTTATGGCGGGCTATATAACTAACAAGGCCAAATCAAACTAATCTGTTTCAACATTCATACACTTCACTATAACTGATAACCAACTATATCTTATTTGCAATTAAAGATACATTTCAAAAATCTTTCTTACTTGCAATAAAAGATACATTTTAAAAACCTTTCTTATTTGCAATTAAATATATATTTCAAAAACCTTTCTTACTCACAATTAAAGATACATTTTAAAAACAAATCAGAAAGTTGAATTAGAAACAAAGAAAGGATTGATTAACTGCTTTGTTATCTCAATCAATCTGTAAGTGCAAGAGAAAATTTATAGACTTGAAACCACAGATGTGATTGATAGAAATAAAGATGAGAATACCATGGACAGAGATTTATAAAAAAAAGAATAATGAAAATGATAAACATGGATAAATGGATAAAATCAGTTTAGACAGAAAAAATGGAAATTATAGACAAAAAAATAGAAATTTAATTGAAAGAAAAAAGAAGGAAGATGAAGAAGGAAAAAAGAAAATGTGAATCATGAAATATTTTAAAATAAGATATATATATAAAATATAGATATATGGACCAAAAGATAGAAAGAAAATATTTTAAGAAATAGATGAAGAAGATATATAAATGTTTGTTAAAATGGATATATAAAATGGAGAATACAGATGGAAAAGATGATGAATTAAATATAGAATAGATGAATGAATGAAGAAGATAATATATATATATATGAATATATAGATAGATAGATAGATGAATAGATAGAGATAGAAGATAGATATGATAAATAGATAGATAGATAGATGAATAATGAATGATAGATATAGATAGATAGATAGATAGATAGATAGATAGATAGATAGATAGAGATAGATAGATAGATAGATAGATAGATGAAAAAAATAGATAGATAGATAGATAGATAGATAGATAGATAAAATGAATAAATAGATAGATAGATGAAATAATGAATAGATAGATAGATAGATGATAGATAGATAGATAGAAAATAGATATATAGATAGAATAGATAGATAGATAGATGAATGGATAGATAGATAGATAAATGATGATGAATAGATAGATAGATAGATGAAGATAGATGATGATAGATAGATAAATGAATAGATGAAATAGAAGATTAATGATAGAAAATAGAATAGATAGATAAGATAGATGATGAATAGATAGATGAATAGATAGATAGATAATGATAGATAGATAGATAGATAGATAGATAGATAGATAGATAGATAGATGAATGAATAGATAGATAGATATAATGAATAGATGATAATGAATGATAGATAGATAGATAGATAGATAGATAGATGAACAGATAGATGAATAGATAGATAGATAGATGAATGAATAGATAGATGAATAGATAGATGAATGATGAACAGATAGAAGATAGATAGATAGAAAGATAGATAGATAGATAGATGAATGAAGATATAGATAGATAGATAGATAGATGATATGAACAGTTTTAGATGATATTATGAATGATGAATTTCTTTAGATTTTAGATAGATGAAATGAACATTAGATAGATAGATAGATAAAAATAGATAGATAGATGAACAATGGATAGTGTAGATAGATTAGATAGATCTTTGGAAATTTGAAGGATCATTAATTTAGATGAATAGAAATGAGAAGTGTCAAGATAAAATTTAGATTTTTTTTATTTGAATGAATAGTTATTTTGAAATGAATCAACTTTTCTTAGATAGATAATTTAGATAAGATGAGATAGAAAAGTCTTAGATAGATGATAATTGGAATGAATGAATGTTTAGTCTATTAGATAGATAGATAGATGAATGAATAATAAAAATCTTAGATCGTTTATATAAATAGATAGAATAAATGGAATATCTGATAGATGAATGAATGAATTTCTAATAGATAATGATAAATAGATGAAACATGAGAACAGAAAAAAAAGAATTTTAATAGATAGATTATTATATATAATAAATAACAGTCTTAATAAATAGATATAAATAGATAGATATATAGATGAACATAGATTTCTCTTAAATACACATGAGGATGAATTTAACATTTCACCAATTTTTTGAATTTCTTTTCAGATTATATGAAAAACATTAAATGAATTTTGAAATAAAATTATTAGATAATTTATTGTAATGATTATCTATATAGATCTTTTAGATAGAATAGATGAATGATATGAATTCTTAGAGGAGTCTCAAAAAAAACAAAATACAAATGGGAGAATGTAAATAGATATTCGACAATCCAAATAATGTAAAAATTTCTACGATATAACAATATAGATACCATGATTTATGAAATTAGAATATAGAAGCCCTTGGCAGAACAATAGGTGAGAAGCAAAAACAATGAACGAAGAAGAAAAAATTTTTTTGAAAGAAAAAAAAAGAAATAGGAAATAGATAGATGAATGAATATAAACAATGATATCAAATGAAAAGAAAAAAATAAAAACTGAAAGGGATTATTTTTCCATAAAGATGAATGAACCAAAAGACAAAGAGATCTGAAACAACAAATTAATGAATGAATTAAAATCCTTGAAAAAGAAACAGATTTTTTAAAACAAGATAAGAATGAAATGAAAGAAACTAAATTCTTATGGGGAAAAAAATAGATATGATTAAGATAGATAGGTAGATGAATGAAAAGCACAATCCCATCTTAGATAAAGCAACAACAGAAACATAGATGAATGCAAAAATGCGGTTTTACGCATAAATTGGAATAAAACCAAACAGGAAAAAAAAGGAAGACCGAATAAAAAATTTTTTAGTTGCAAAAAAAAAAAAAAAATAAATTAATGAATGCCCAACAGTCTTAGATAGATAGAAAAAAAAATAGAAAAATGAATGAACAAAAGTTACAATGTTATTTTCCCCCAAATAGATAGATAAATTCAAAAGAACTTTAATTACATCATGAATGCATAAAAATAAAGAGTTTTTATATAAAAAGAGAGATGAAAAAAAAAACAGTCTTAGCAGAACAGACAAAATAAAGATTTTTGCCCTTTTGAAAGACCAACTGAATAAATGAACAATTGAACTTAGAAAATATCTTATAAATCATTGATGGATATAGAAAAAATGATTCTTTTCTTGAAAGATAAAAGAAAAATTCAAACTCAACAAGAAGAAACAGTCTGGAAAGGAGGATAGAAAAAAAACCCTTCAAAGAAAATATTTCAAGAAACAGAGATAAACCTAAAATTATTCTTTGAAGATATGAATAGATAGATAGATATGTCAATATGTAGATAGATGATTGATTCAAAATAAAAATAGATTGAATGAATAGCCAGAACCTTTCAAAACAAACTTTATGGTTATCATATCAATTTTTTTTAAATCAAAAATCACTCATCCACTGTTAACAACGATGAATAGACCGAATTCTTCTTCCTTTTAGTGCCTTATTATTGTACACAGCCATGATTAAACAATATTTGATTGTAAACTTTTTATTTTTTTTGAAAAGAAGTTCTTTCTTCATCGTTGTTATGTATTTTTTTTTTGCAATTTTATATTCTTTTTTTATAACAAGCCAAAAAATGATATGTTTAAAGAAAAAAAATCGTCCAACATTCGGCCCAAATAAGATTAATCCTTCATCGTCCCAAATTTAGCTGGAAAAAAAAAAAATAAACCCTCTGGACCTCATCGTTGTTCACAGCTCAGTCCATGATATCCTTAGCATCCTTCTTTGAGGAAATCGTCCAAAAGACCCGTAGTATCAGTGGGATTCTAGGCCCTTTTTCATCGTCCCACCAAAATTTAGCTGTCTCTTCCTGATATTACAAGAAAAAAGAAAAAATAAAGAATCATCGTTGTTCACACGCTCAGTCCATGATAAAAAAAAATCGTCCCAATATAAGATTCTGGAAATCCCAGAAATTCAGCTGTCTCTTCCTGATGTTAAGTACAAGCCTCTTTTTGGTTTAACAACCACTCTAAGACCTCATCGTTGTTCACACGCTCAGTCCATGATATCCTTAGCATCCTTCTTTGAGGAAATCGTCCAATATTCGACCCGTGAGTATCAGATTCTCTAGGCCCTGTTTCATCGTCCCAGAAACTTCAGCTGTCTCTTCCTGATGTTAAGTACAAGCCTCTTCCTTGTATTGCAACAAAGAAAAGACCTCAAAACGCTCAGTCCATGATATCCTTAGCATCCTTCTTTGAAAATTCGTCCAATATTCGAAAATATCAGAAATCGTCCCAGAAACTTCAGCTGTCTCTTCCTGATGTTAAGTAAAGCCATGAAATCCTTGTTTGCAACCATCTAAGACCTCAATTTCACACGCTCAGTCCATGATATCCTAATCCTAAGGAAATCGTCCAACATTCGGCCCATGAGTAAAGATTTCTAGGCCCTTTTTCATCGTCCCAGAAACTTCAGCTGTCTCTTCCTGATGTTAAGTACAAGCCTCTTCCTAAAAACCACTCTTTCAAGGAATGTCCAATAAAAAACAACGCTCAGTCCATGATATCCTTTGATGTTAAATTTAGACTAAACAGCCCTTTTGATATCAGATTCTCTAGGGCCCTCCTTCATCGTCCCAGAAACTTCAGCTGTCTCTTCCTGATGTTAAGTACAAGCCTCTTCCTTGTTTGCAAAAAAGACCTCATCGTTGTTCACACGCTCAGTCCATGATATCCTTAGCATCCTTCTTTGAGGAAATCGTCCAATATTCGACCCGTGAGTATCAGATTCTCTAGGCCCTGTTTCATCGTCCCAGAAACTTCAGCTGTCTCTTCCTGATGTTAAGTACAAGCCTCTTCCTTGTTTGCAACCACTCTAAGACCTCAGTGTTCACACGCTCAGTCCATGATATCCTTAGCATCCTTCTTTGAGGAAATCGTCCAACATTCGGCCCATGAGTATCAGATTCTCTAGGCCCTCCTTCATCGTCCCAGAAACTTCAGCTGTCTCTTCCTGATGTTAAGTCTCTTCCTCTTCCTTGTTTGAAACCTCTAAGACCTCATCGTTGTTCACACGCTCAGTCCATGATATCCTTAGCATCCTTCTTTTTGAGAAACAATATTCGACCCGTGAGTATCAGATTTCTAGGCCCTGTTTCATATAAGCTGTCTCTTCCTGATGTTAAGTACAAGCCTCTTCCTTGTTTGCAAACCACTCTAAGACCTCATCGTTGTTGTACGCTCAGTCCATGATATAGCATCCTTCTTTGAGGAAATCGTCCAATATTCGACCCGTGAGTATCAGATTCTCTAGGCCCTCCTTCATCGTCCCAGAAACAGTTGTCTCTTCCTGATGTTAAACAAGCCTCCTCCTTGTTTGCAACCACTCTAAGACCTCATCGTTGTTCACACGCTCAGTCCATGATATCCTTAGCATCCTTCTTTGAGGAAATCGTCCAATATTCGACCCGTGAGTATCAGATTCTAGGCCCTCCTTCATCGTCCCAGAAAGCTGTCTCTTCCTGAGTTAGAAAATCCTCCTTGTTTCGTCCCACTCTAAAACCTCATCGTTGTTCACACGCTCAGTCCATGATATCCTTAAATTCTTGAGAAATCGTCCAATATCGTTATAGATTCTCAAGGCCCTGTTTCATCGTCCCAGAAACTTCAGCTGTCTCTTCCTGATGTTAACAAGCCTCTTCCTTGTTTGGCAACCACTCTAAGACCTCATCGTTAACGCTCAGTCCATGATATCCTTAGCATCCTTCTTTGAGGAAATCGTCCAATATTCGACCCGTGAGTATCAGATTCTCTAGGCCCTCCTTCATCGTCCCAGAAACTTCAGCTGTCTCTTCCTGATGTTAAACAAGCCTCCTCCTTGTTTGCAAAAAGACCTCATCGTTGTTCACGCTCAGTCCATGATATCCTTAGCATCCTTCTTTGAGGAAATCGTCAACATTCGGCCCATGAGTATCAGACAAGGCCCTCCTTCATCGTCCCAGAAACTTCAGCTGTCTCTTCCTGATGTTAAGTACAAGCCTCTTCCTTGTTTGCAACACTCTAAACCTCATCGTTGTTCACACGCTCAGTCCATGATAAAGCATCCTTCTTTGAGGAAATCGTCCAATATTCGACCCGTGAGTATCAGATTCTCTAGGCCCTGTTTCATCGTCCCAGAAACTTCAGCTGTCTCTTCCTGATGTTAAGTACAAACTTCCTTGTTTCTCTAAGACCTCATCGTTGTTCACACGCTCAGTCCATGATAGATCCTTCTTTGAGGAAATCGTCCAAAAAGTATCAGATTCTCTAGGCCCTCCCTTCATCGTCCCAGAAACTTCAGCTGTCTCTTCCTGATTTTAAAACAAGCCTCCTCCTTGTTTGCAACCACTCTAAAGACCTCATCGTTGTTGTTCACACGCTCAGTCCAATATCCTTAGCATCCTTCTTTGAGGAAATCGTCCAACATTCTGAAAAAATCAGATTCTCTAGGATAAATCGTCCCAGAAACTTCAGCTGTCTCTTCCTGATATAAGGTACAAGCCTCTTCCTTGTTTGCAACCACTGTAAGACCTCATCGTTGTTCAGCTCAGTCCATGTTATCCTTAGCATCCTTCTTTGAGGAATCGTCCAACATTCGCCCATGAGTATCAGATTCTCTAGGCCCTCCTTCATCGTCCCAGAAACTTCAGCTGTCTCTTCCCACAAGCCTCTTTGTTTGCAACCTTCCTCTAGACCTCATCGTTGTTCACGCTCAGTCCATGATATCCTTAGCATCCTTCTTTGAGGAAATCGTCCAATATTCGGCCCATGAGTATCAGATTCAGTCCCTCCTTCATCGTCCCAAAACTTCAGCTGTCTCTTCCTGATTTAAGCAAGCCTCTTCCTTGTTTGCAACCCTAAGACCTCATCGTTGTTCACACGCTCAGTCCATGATATCCTTAGCATCCTTCTTTGAGGAAATCGTCCAATATTCGACCCGTGAGTATCAGATTCTCTAGGCCCTGTTTCATCGTCCCAGAAACTTCAGCTGTCTCTTCCTGATGTTAAGTACAAGCCTCCTCCTTGTTTGCAACCACTCTAAGACCTCATCGTTGTTCACACGCTCAGTCCATGATATCCTTAGCATCCTTCTTTGAGGAAATCGTCCAATATTCGACCCGTGAGTATCAGATTCTCTAGGCCCTCCTTCATCGTCCCAGAAACTTCAGCTGTCTCTTCCTGATGTTAGTACAACCTCTTCCTTGTTTGCAACCACTCTAAGACCTCATCGTTGTTCACACGCTCAGTCCATGATATCCTTACATCCTTCTTTGAGAAATCGTCCAATATTCGAATGTAGTATCAGATTCTCTAGGCCCTCCTTCATCGTCCCAGAAACTTCAGCTGTCTCTTCCTGATGTTAAGTACAAGCCTCCTCCTTGTTTGTAACCACTCTAAGACCCTCATCGTTGTTTACGCTCAGTCCATGAATCTTAGCATCCTTCTTGAGGAAACGTCCAATATTCGACCCGTGAGTATCAAATTCTCTAGGCCCTCCTTCATCGTCCCAGAAACTTCAGCTGTCTCTTCCAGAACAGCTCTTCCTTGTTTGCAACCACTCTAAGACCTCATCGTTGTTCACAAAATGATATCCTTAGCATCCTTCTTTGAGGAAATCGTCCAATATTCGACCCGTGAGTATCAGATTCTAGGTCCTCCTTCATCGTCCCAGAAACTTCAGCTGTCTCTTCCTGAACTCT